CTGGGGGTGTTGAAGGGCAGGTTGGATGGGGCTTGGAGCAGCCTGGGCTGGTGGGAGGTGTCCCTGCCCATGCAGAGGGTTGGAACTAGATGAGCTTTAAGGTCCCTTCCCACCCAAACCATTCCTTGAGTCTCTGATTCCCTGGTAGGGGCAGGTCCCTGGTGTCTCTGGCAGAGCTCCCTGAGCTGCAAACTGGGCAGGCAGCCTGTGGTTCTAATGCAAATATTTGCCATTGTCAGTGTATGGATTTCTTTCTTCACTTCTCCAAGCAGGGAAAAGTCCAATTCTCAAGGGCTTGGGGAGCAAAGTCCTCCCAACTTCACAACTGAAACTGGATCAGTGCAAATGTACAGATATCTATGGAGATGCCACCCCAGTCTCAGGCTGAGTTGGTTGGACTCTTTGGAAATGTGGAAATCATACAATTAGTTTGGTTGGAAAAGACCTTTAAGGTCATCAAGTCCAACCCAGCACTGCCAACACCACTCTGCTCTGGTGAGACCTCCCTGGAGCACATGTGTGCAGCTCTGGGATCCTCAGCACAGGACATGGACCTGTTGGAGCAGCTCCAAAAGAGGCCATGGAGATGATTAGAGGGCTGGAACAGCTTTGCTATGGGGAAAGGTTGAGAGAGTTGGGGTTGTTCAGCCTGGGGAAGGCTCCAGGAAGTCCTTCTTGTGGACTTTCAGGAGGCTTGGAAGAAAGACAAGAGACATTTTAGTAGGGACTGTCATGACAGGACAAGGGGCAACGGTTTTAGACTGAAAGAGGGCAGGTTTAGATGGGAGATAAAGAAGACATATTTTATGATGAGGGTGGTGAGACCAGGTTGCCCAGAGAAGCTGTGGCTGCCCCATCCCTGGCAGTGTTGAAGGGCAGGTTGGATGGGGCTTGGAGCAGCCTGGGCTGGTGGGAGGTGTCCCTGCCCATGCAGGGGGGTTGGAACTAGATGAGCTTTAAGGTCCTGTGAGATGTGTTCACCTGATAAAATGGAAAGTCACAGGATGAAGAATAATCCATTGTGGAACAGTGTTGAGAGTCATAGAATGAAGAATAATTCTTTCTGTGCAGTATCTTTGCTTGTGCTGCCTGTTTTGTAGTTTTTGTATAGGGTGACAAGATTAATATCTTCTGCTTGCATGTTGCTCTTGTGCATCTTCTGCTCTCATCACATGTGATTTCTGTATTATGTCGCAAACACCTTAAAGTTATTTTTTTTAGCCTAGACCAGCTTTGTTGGTAACCACGAGAATGTTAAAAAGCAGATTCTTGGAAATAATGAACATCAGCCGACCCTTTTCTCGAAATAGTGATGCATCTGTATTAGTTATAAAGATAAAAACTGGGAGATGAAGCTGTTTGTTGCGGGCCTTGGCGGAGCGGAGGCACCCGGGGCGCCCAGCGCTGGTTTCTTGCTTCATAAATTACTAATTTGGGTAAAGATCCCACTTGGGAACGAGTCATTTATCACAGTTCCCTTCCAGCCTTACCCATTCTGTGATTCTGTGATCTCGATTTTTATCTTTTATTCATTATTTTTATCTTTCAATAAACAGCTCCTCCAAAAACGTGCCCAGCGTGCAGGGTGAGGTGAGAGAGATGCAGCTGATAATTATAGGTAATATTTCCAAGAACCAGTTTCCATATTCATTAATTTCCCAAGAAATCATTTACATAAGTGCCTGCCCATTATCCCAGGGGTGTTAAGTCCACGAGGGTCTCCTGGGGGTCGTTTACTTCGTCCTGGAGTCTTCCTCACGGGAGCCTCTGGCTGAGTTCCCTCTTCTCCCGCTTCTCCCCGCTGCCTCGGCAGCAGAGCTGGTTCCATGCTCTTGGTTCAGGACAGCCAGGGTGGCCCAGGCTGGTTATGGGGACAGGGGACAATCAGGATAGCCCAGGCTGGGGACAGGGACTAGGGACAGGGGACAGCAAGGTTAGCCCAGGCTGGGGACAGGGGACAACCAGGGATAGCCCAGGCTGGGGACAGGCGACAATCAGGACAGCCCGAGCTGGGGACAGGGGCTGAGGACAGGGGACATTGAGGACAGCCCAGACTGGGGACAAGGGACATGCAGGACATCCCAGGCTGGGGACAGGGGCTGGGGACAAGGGCCAGCAGGGTTAGCCCAGGCTGGGGACAGGGGCTGGGGACAGGGGACATTGAGGACAGCCCAGACTGGGGACAAGGGACATGCAGGACATCCCAGGCTGGGGACAGGGGCTGGGGACAGGGGCCAGCAGGGTTAGCCCAGGCTGGGGACAGGGGCTGGGGACAGGGGACATTGAGGACAGCCCAGACTGGGGACAAGGGACATGCAGGACATCCCAGGCTGGGGACAGGGGCTGGGGACAGGGGCCAGCAGGGTTAGCCCAGACTGGGGACAAGGGACATGCAGGACATCCCAGGCTGGGGACAGGGGCTGGGGACAAGGGCCAGCAGGGTTAGCCCAGGCTGGGGACAGGGGCTGGGGACAGGGGACATTGAGGACAGCCCAGACTGGGGACAAGGGACATGCAGGACATCCCAGGCTGGGGACAGGGGCTGGGGACAGGGGCCAGCAGGGTTAGCCCAGGCTGGGGACAGGGGCTGGGGACAGGGGACATTGAGGACAGCCCAGACTGGGGACAAGGGACATGCAGGACATCCCAGGCTGGGGACAGGGGCTGGGGACAGGGGCCAGCAGGGTTAGCCCAGGCTGGGGACAGGGGCTGGGGACAGGGGACATTGAGGACAGCCCAGACTGGGGACAAGGGACATGCAGGACATCCCAGGCTGGGGACAGGGGCTGGGGACAGGGGCCAGCAGGGTTAGCCCAGGCTGGGGACAGGGGCTGGGGACAGGGGACATTGAGGACAGCCCAGACTGGGGACAAGGGACATGCAGGACATCCCAGGCTGGGGACAGGGGCTGGGGACAGGGGCCAGCAGGGTTAGCCCAGGCTGGGGACAGGGGCTGGGGACAGGGGACATTGAGGACAGCCCAGACTGGGGACAAGGGACATGCAGGACATCCCAGGCTGGGGACAGGGGCTGGGGACAGGGGCCAGCAGGGTTAGCCCAGGCTGGGGACAGGGGCTGGGGACAGGGGACATTGAGGACAGCCCAGACTGGGGACAAGGGACATGCAGGACATCCCAGGCTGGGGACAGGGGCTGGGGACAGGGGCCAGGGGCCCAGAGTTCTGGGAGGGGAGAGAGGATGGGGAGGGCAGTGTGAGGGGACACAAGAGTCCAGGGGGGGTTAGGGAGGGTCGTGAGGGGGACCTTGGAGCCCATAGAAGGGAAGGGACCAGCTGTGAGGGGACCCTGGAGTCCATAGGGAAAAAGAGTGAGCTGGGAAGGGACCCTGGAATCCATAGGGAAAATGGGTGAGCTGGGAGGGGGCCCTGGAATCCATAGGGAAAAGGGGTGAGCTGGGAGGGGACTCCAGAGTTCTGGGAAGAGGGAAGGGGGACAGTGTGAGGGTACACAAGAGTCCAGGTGGGTTTAGGGAGGGTTGTGAGTGGGACCCTGGGGTCCATAGGGAAAAGGGGTGAGCTGGGAGGGGACCCCAGATTCTGGGAGGGGAGAGG